TCCAAGCCATGTCGTGGTGCCACCTCCCAGCCCGATCCGATACGTCGGTACGGCTCCACATAGGGCACAGGGGATTCAGGTGGACGTCGGCGGGGTGAGACTGCCGGACCGGGTCCGCGTCGTGACTTGTCGTCAGTCGAGAAGCGATTGGATTGTTTGGATTCGCCGGTATCCGGCATCTCGGGGACTCAGCCAATCAAATGATCTCTTCAGCGGAAAATGCAACAACCCGACCACACCGTGTTCGTTGAAGCTCCGCCCGTCGTTGATCGGACAACACTTCCCCCATGGCTTAGTCCACTTCGTGAGCTTTCGCCATCTTCTTCACAATTGCGAGCTTCGCTCGCTTCTTGCAAAATGCCTTGAACATTGTGGGTACATCTTCTTGGATGTTCTGTGCTGGCTCCCAGGAGTTCTCGACATCCCGAAGGCCGCGCCACTTAATCTGTACTTCGTACGACTTGGTCGCTGGGACATAGCGTGCGCTGACGATAACTTCAACTTCATGGCCCTCAGAGTTGTGTGCGACATGGTCTATGAAATCCTCCGAGAGTTGGAGGTCTTCATCGGCGTAGAACTTCAGACGGATTGCATGAGCTGGCCGCTGTTCGCCGGTCACCAGGTTCCTGACGTCGTAGACCCAATTACTAGCAACGTTTGTGACGACAGCTGGTCCACACCATGTCGTCCGCAGTTTGGCACGCTTGTGCATCCAAACGTCTTGGTACAGCACGTAGTCGCCAACGACAAACTGGGCCATCTGGACCCCACGCTTGGCATCGTGCGACTTTCTTGCTTGCGCGCGTTTCTTAGCATTGGTCTCGGCCACCACCTTGTGCATGGCATTTAGAGCAGCACGGGCTTTGTCGATGTTGTCACGCTGGCTTTCGTTGATTACTTCTAGTGTTGCGGATTTGGTTAGCCCAGGCAAGGCTATGGTGTCCAACGGCGACATCGCAGGGCGGCCTGACATAGCAGTGACTGGCGCCACGTTGCCGAGGGATGGTGAGGGCAGCTGGTTGAGGATTAACATGACCACCAAGTGGATCTCGCTCCACTGAGTCGTTGCCATACGCCACTCACTGAGACAAGCTCGAAACAATTTGAGCAACATGCGCATCACCACTTCGACGGTACCATTAGCCCAGGGGCATCGAGCTGTAATGAAGTGGTGGTGAGCTCCCAAGACATGTTGCAGCTCCGCAATGACTTGGTTCTTGAAATGGGTTCCTTGATCGGACACCCACTCGTAACATATCCCAAAGACAGCAAACCACTGCAACAGGCATTGCTTGACAAAAACAGCAGTTGATTCCTTGGTTGGGAACAACCATACCATCCTGCTGGCATCGCACTTGATCACCAGCAGGTACCTGTCGCCCGTCTTCAAGTCACCCATGTACACAAAATTCCAGTGCAGAAGACCATTGGGCTGGCTAGAATGCAGAGCTTCTCCAAGCGGCCGAGGTGCACCGCCCAAAACACTGGCACAGTGCAGACAACGGCCGACGAAAAACTTGACATCAGCCTTCAGGGTGGACCACCGACAAAACTTGGCAAGGCTGGCTAAGGTTTGCCCAGCTGGCCGATGACCGGCCAAGCTTGCATGGGCACAAACACACAAACGCAGTTGTAAACCCGTCGCATCATCGGGAATCCACAACACTCCGTCCACCAGACGTAACATCCACGGCTCGCCATCATCCAACACCACACGATGCTGGTCCTGATCGCTAAGCTCGCACACGACAGCGGGATCTGGGGGCGTAGGGTTGTTAGCAAGGCTGCCTCGTTGAGCTAGAGCAATGGCAGCCAACGTTGGCCACTTGAACGAGTTGCTCCGCAGCGGCGACACGAGCAATGGCTCGCTTGTGATAGCACAGATCGACTTGAGCGGTGAACCCCACCGGGATAGCAAATCAGCCCACACATTCGACTCCCCAGGGATGTCATGGATCTCATAGTCGTAGCCCATCAACAGCAGTACCAAGGTCTCCACAATCGCATAGGCCTCCTTCTCCACAATGGACCACCGGCCCCAGCAAAGGTGCCACTCAAAAACATGAGGGGCTCGTCGTCCTGGTTCTCCAAGGGTCGACTGAGCTGGCTGGGGTCAACTTGGGTTATCACAGCACCCCAGTGTTCCTCCGAGGCATATGCGAACATACACAGCCGCATGTCGGGCTTGGGATGGCTAAGCTCGACGAGGTTAGTCAGGGCTTTCTTGGTCGCTTCCACGGCAGCCACATGCGATTCAGCTAGCTGTTTGATCCGCTTCCCACCAACAGCGGCGAACACTCGCTCCAACACAGCAGAGAGATCTCGAACCAGCACGTTGAAACCAGGGATGGGCATACGCATCCAGTTGAGCGCACAAACATACTGTTGCAGATCGCCGCCCGTCCGAGGTGATGGCAGCAGCTGGAGTGCGCTGACTCGAGCTGGGTCGTGACACCAGAACCGCTGATAATACGACCACACCACTCGTTCACGCACGAAGAACTGGCACTTCTTTGAGTGTAGCTTCAAACCCTACACTGCACACACTTCCAACACCTCAGCCAAAGCACGGAGCAGCCCGGCGGGAGACGTTTCATAGCCAAACAGGTCATCTAGCCAGGCTAGCAAACATCGGTACAGCTGGCCCGCAAACATGGCCTGAACAGTGGACTGACAGTAGGCAACACTGTCGCTGCCGCCTTGCATCACACGGTTCGACGTGAACACTCCCGTGTCCGTAAGGAACGAGAAAATCTCTTGGCAGCTAGGGTCCAGCGAGAATTGCCAGTAGCCTTTGAAAAAGTCCAAGAGGAAAAAACACGTGGCGCCACGGAGATGATCCACCACGACGTCCAACATGGGCATTGGCCAGGCTATCTGTTCCGTCTGGCTGTTGGCCGGTCGGAGGTCCACGATCATGCGGAATTCGTCTTTGGTGTGTGGCTTCCGTACGATGAGAGGGGCACATGCCCACCGGCTGGCCGGGTTCCGATAGATAAAACCTGCCGAGGCTAGCTCCTCCACATGCTTCTGCATGAACTCCCGTTGAGGAAGCGAGTAACGTCGCGCCTTGCAACGCACTGGCTTGGCAGTGGGCACCAGATGCACCTTCAACGGGGGCATGTCCACCGGAGGGTCTCGGCCAAGTGTCAGGCGGAAAACGTCCACATACTTGGTGAGCAGCTCGGCCAAACCGCTGGCAAACTCAGCTCCACAGCCAGCTTCGCTAGCTTCGACCACTTTGGCATCGAGAATCAGCTGAACTTTCGCGTGTTCTGCAGCAGGATCCACCAGCGCCATGCCGGAGAAACAGACAGCCAACTCCATTGGCATCAGTGGCTCTTCCTCGTCCGCTAGGTCATCGATAAACTCTTGCTGGGTGGCTAGGAGCACCGCCTTCACGACACCACTCGGCGACTCCACATCTGACATGTCGTACTCGCTGCACACAGCCGCAGCTTCACGAAGCATGGAGTGGGGGTCATAGTCTCGCTTGCACACGATAGCTCGGCTCAGCAGGAGATCGTCCACCCCAGCTGGCAGTGAACCGACCGAGAGCCAACACTTCACGTTCGTCAGCATCAGAGGACCGGCGTCCGTCTCAAACTTCAGGTCGATTTTCACTTCCTGAGTGACAGTGTGGCTAGGTCCAACAAAACCTCGTACCACCACGGGGGCTGGCAGATCTGTCACGACCACGTCACGTCCAGCCGCTTGCAACATCTTGATGGTTGCTGGGGGAATGACACTCTGGTCCGCACCACTGTCAAACGAGGCGTCCAACGGGATAGTCTGGCTAGCAGTGCACACCACACGAGCCGCACATGATATGGCGGCTTCCAGCGTCGGCTGGACAGGGGCTGCCACCCGTTCCACCACCGAGATATTCCTCGCTTCGCTAGCCCATATAGCTCTGGCTCGCTCCATCAAGAGCTTGGCCTCCCCTTCAGCCACTTTGGGGCACTTGAAAACGTTGTGGTCTTGACTAAGACACTTGAAACACGCCTTTTTCCCTTGGGTGAAATGGCTGTTGGGGACTTTGTTCACATTCGAGACAGCAGCGACTGTCTTCGGCTTTCTTGTGTCAGCCTTGGCTGGCTTTGCCTTGTCCACCGACACTTTGGCGGAATCCTTCGCAGGCTGAGCAAAACCAGCTTGCATTATCGGCTCGAACTCGCCAAAGCGCCGCATATAATCGGCCAACCATGTCTTGAAAGCCCGCGCGTCCTTCTTGAACATTCGGTTCTCATTGAGCTTCATGAGCTTCTTCACACGTTTCTGCACAGC